CCCGCAGCACACCCCCCACGTCTCGGGCTGGACATGCCATCTGCATCACCTGCATGTACACGTGTGTGCACATTCACACATGTGTGCTCAACCCTCCAGTCTGGTCCCAGGCCCCCCTCAGAGGGGTCTGACAGGTGTTCGTATATACCACGACCACCCCTCACCCCCTGCCCAGCTCAGCAGGGATCCCTCCCCAACACTATCACTTTATTGTTATTACTATTACTGTCACTGTTAATATTATCTACTTGCCTTCCCCTGGAAGCTGCTGGCAGGGGTTTTGGTATCAGCAGGGCTAGGGGCAAGCACAGGATTGGGGGAGCATTCCAGAACCACGTACGTGTGGAGACAGAATGAATAAAGGTAAAGGGAAAATAAGCAACAGAAAGGGAGAGGGAGAGAAATGAAGGCGAATGGGAGAGAAAAGGAAGGGAAAGGGGAGGGCAGTGCTGATGTGGAGTGGAGGGACTCTGGAGTCCTGACACTGCAGGACCCCAGCCAGCCCCATGCCAGCCCCATACAATCCCCACAGCAGCCCTGGGCAGTGCAGTGCCCACCTGTGCCAGCTCCCAGCCACAGAACCACCCCGGCTGGATTACATGGCAACTTGGCCCACGATCTGCAGCTGGGGCACAGGGAAGCCCTCCCTCCAGATTGAAAGTCCTTCCAGCCCCCTGTGCTGCTCCTGCGGTGTGAGTGCTCCTGCCAGCCCCACAGCCATGCACCTGCTCCTCCCCTGCTCCCCTCTTCCCACGCTGGCAGGTGCCTCCACATCCCACTCTCTGCCCAGCTGGGATCCCACGACAACCCCCCCCGCCCCGGTCTCGGGGACCCAAGACTCCCCCCACCCCGTGCTGCATTTACCCCAGGGCTGCAGCAGGGAATGGGGGAGCTGAACTGCAGCTGGGGGCTGTGAGGACTCAACCTCACAGGTGCGGCCCGTGAGGCCTCCAGATCGGCTGCAGCTGTGGGACCGAGGCCTCGCCCACATCACCGGAGCCCTGATGGTCTCACCAGGGAGCAAAGGGACACCAGAGTCTGCAAGAGGTCCGGGGAGCCCTGGGAGGCCCCCTCCCACGTAATTAAAAGCCCAATGGCATAAGACCAAGGAGGACAGAGGTATGGTAAGGGGAAACAAGTGGATGTTTAAAAAATATAAAAGATTGAAGGAAAAAGATAAAAAAAAAGGG